GCATTTCTGCCTCATCGTGAACACTCTCCTGGAAAGGTGGGTGTATGTTATTTGATGACATGAAATGTTTATTGTGTAGTGTAATGGTTTTCAGGATTGTATAGGAAAAGACTGCACATTCTTCTTTCAGTGTGATATATTTTTGTTGGACAAACTCCCTTTGGAGTTAAAATTTGAGGGTTTGTCAAGCCCTTGCAGATTAGCAGTGTTGCAAGGCAATTTCATTTCTCAGTGGTAAGAAGAATCTCCATTTCAAATATCATTGATGTACATTAACTTTGTGCAAAATAAACAAAAATAAATGGCAAGGGTTTAACAGTACAAATTGATGGCAGGCAGTGGAATTATTATTATTATTATTATTATTATTAATTGAATTACTATTATTAATTGAATTTATATACCGCCCTATACCCAGAGGACTCAGGGAACAAAATCAAAATATAAAACAACAAAATATATAATCAAAATAAAAACAACCCAATACCCCCCCACACAAAAAAAACACATTTTAAAAGGGCATAGGATGTCAATCAAATCAACCAAAGGCCTGGTTAAAAAGGAACGTTTTTGCCTGGTGCCTAAAGGTGTATAATGAAGAAGCCAGGCGAACTTCCCCGGGAAAGTTCCCATTCCACGGATGGGGAGCCACTGCAGAGAAGGCCCTGTTCTTGTGTTGCCACCCTCTGGACCTCTTGAGGAGGAAGCACATGAAGGGGGGTTAAGAAGATGATCTCAGGGTCCATGTAGATTCATACGGAAAGAGGTGGTCCTTGAGGTATTGTGGTCCTGAGCATCAAGCCTATTGACATCAAGCCTATTTCTGTAAATTCCCAGTCCTGTGTTTCCCACCTTCAATAAAATGAATTAATAATGGAGGGAGGGGGAGACAAAACTACAACTGATTTTGTGCAACAGGACTTTAGTATCCAGAGCTACCCACCCTTGAGAACTATAGAGCATACTGAGTGATCACATGTTATTAAGACGTAATAATAACAATTTATAATTTATACAGTGAAATAAACATACACAACATTTTTAGAGCTAAAAGAAGTTAGATCAATGTCTCAAAGTGTTGGCAGTATAAATTTTGAATGTGGAAGGAAAAGGGAGGAGCTGGAAAGAAACAGCAAAGGAAACAACCCCACTGAAAAAAGAGGGGAAATGGTAATACGAGATTAATCTGGACAAAAATAGCTAAGCTTTAGCCCTCTTCAAGTGTCCCTCCTCAGGGGAGGTGTTTCCTAGTCCTGCCTCATCCATCCCCCCCCACCCCATCATCATGACCTAAAATCATAGAATTGCAGAGTTGGTAGGGATCCCAAGGGTCATCAAGTCCAATCCCCTGCAATGCAGGAATCTCAACTATGACACTTGGCCACCCAACCTCTGCTTAAAAACCTCCAGTGAAGCAGAGTCCACCACCTTCCAAGGGAGTCCATTCCACTGTTGAACAGCTCTTACTGTCAGAAAGTTATTCCTGATGTTTAGTCAGAATCGCCTTTCTTGTAACTTAAAGCCATTGGTTCAGGTCCCACCCTCCAGAGCAGGAGCAAACGAGCTTGTTCCCTCTTCCATGTGATAGCCCTTGAGATATTTGAAGATGGCTATCATATCTCCTCTGTCTCCTCGTATCCAGGCTAAACATACCCAGCTTCCTCAACCGTTCCTCATAAGGCTTGGTTTCCAGACCTTTGAGCATCTTGCTTGTCCATCTCTGCATATGTTCCAGCTTGACAATAACCTTCTTAAATGGTGCCCAGGATTGGACACAGGTGTGGTCTCACCAAGGCAGAATAGAGCAATACTATGACTTTCACTGATGTGGACATTGCTTCTGTTGATGCAGCGTAGAAGAGCATTAGCTTTTTTTGCTGCTGCATCACTGTTGCCAAGCTTTTGGTCTACTAAGACCCCTAGATCCTTTTCACGTTTATTACTGGCAAGCCAGGTTTCCCCATCTTATATTTGTGCATCTGGTTCTTCCTGCCTAAGTGCACAACCTTACATTTGTCCCTATTGAAATTCAGTTTGTTAGTTTGGGCCCAGTTCTCCAATCTGTTGGTCATCTTTAATCCAGATTCTGTCTTCTGCAAAAATAGCTACCCCTCCCAGTTTGGTGTCATCTGCAAATTGGATGAGCATTCCCTCAATTCAAGTCATTTATAAAGACATTTAACAACTATGAGCCCAGGATGGAACCCTGTGGCCCCCCACTTGTCAGTTTTTCCAGGGTGATGAGGAATCCTTAGTGTGCACACTTTGGGATCTGTCAGTGAACCAGCTACAAATCCAACTACAGTCAAACCTTGGCTTAAATATTTTCGGGTTGCGCTCCACGGCGACCCGGAAATAACGATGCACGTTACTTCCAAGTTTCGCCGCTCACACATGTGCAGTCACTCAAAATGACATCACGCGCATGTTCGGAAGTGGCGAAATGCGGCACATGCAGACGCGAAGTCACGTCTTACGTTCGCTGCAGGATGCGAACGGGGCTCTGGAACGGATCCTGTTCACATCCAGAGGTACCACTGTAACAGTTACCTCGTCAGGCTCACATTTTACCAGCATCTCTGCAAGAATATCAGGGGGAACTTTGTCAAAAGCCTTACTGAAATCAATACAAACTACATCCACGGGATTCTCCTGATCCACCAAGCTTGTCACTCTATCGAAAAGAAGAAAAAAAAAGAGAAAAAAAGAGGAATGAGATTTGTCTGGCATGACTTGTTTTCAAAAAATCCATGCTGGCCCTTAGTAATTAGAGCACCCTTTTCTAAGTGCTCATGGACTGACTGTTTAATTATATACCTTTCCTGGTATTGATGTCAAGTTGACT